CACACCCATGCTCTACAGTAACATTAATACCATAGCTCAGCTATAAATACAAGTCATTTTCTTCTCCGGGCCTTAGTTGGCACTCACAAATATTTGATGGCAATGCTTTAAGGAGGTTACCTATTAGGTAATCTTAAAGATCCCTTTCATCTCTGGCACTTTATGGTTCTAAGATAAATGAGCTTTTCTACGTTGACCCAGCGTCAGAACTTTATTTATAGCATTGTTTCTATGCAAAAAAGTTTTATACATCTCAAGCAACTGACTTAAGAATCAACTTTGGGAATATAATCCATTTGAAGTTGAGGCCTTCCAGTATCTCATAAAATACTGTCTGCCATGTTCCTATACATCTTTATTACTACAGTAAATATTATTTGGAGAAAAAGAACACATTATAATTAGAATGATTAAAAAAATAAACACAGACTTTTCTTTACTACTATAGAATTCTTACAGTCGTCTTGGTATCTTAAATTTTCTGGTTAGAACAGGTTAAAGACATTTCCCTTCCAATGACTCTCTTGACTTACCTCCTTCCTATTTTATTGCAATTCAATAAGCCCTTATGAAACAACTCTTGGTTTTTGAAATTTAGGAGTCATACAAAACATGGTGCTCCAGGGAGACAGAGTTGGGCAGTGTGGCACTGAGACTCTAAGATGCCCTAATTATCCCTACCTCCTATAATTCAGACCCCTCCCCTTAAGTTTGGGTGGGACCTGTGACCTGTTTCTAACCAGTAGAATATGGCAAAGGTGAGGGGATCTTACTTGCATAGTTACATTACATAAGACTGTAACTTCCATCTTGCTAGCAGACTCTCTGTATTGACTCCCTCTCCCTTGGCTTTGAAGTAAGCTGCCATGTGGAGAGGCCCACGTAGCATGCAACACGAAGGTGGCCTCTGGCTGACAGCCAGTAAAGAGCTAAGGCTCCCAGTCTAACAATCCTCAAGGGGTATGTGCTGCCAACAACCACCTGAGCCTGGAAGGGGAACTTCCCCAGTAGAACGTCAGCTCTGACCAACACCTTGATTGCAGCCTTCTGAGAGACTCTGAAGCAGGAGTCCAGCTAAGGCAAATCCAGATTCCTGACCCACAGGAACTGTGACATAATAAATGTCTTCTGTCGTAAGCCACTAAGTTTATGGAAATATTGTTACCTAGCAACTGATCAGATAAGAAGCACAGTATAATTAGAGAACAACTTAAAGGAAATAGAAATCCAAGTATGAAGTTCTGGGATAAAGTTAGTTTTGAAATATTCCATAGAGAGGGTATGAGACCCACATTTTTTCAAGAATTCAGATTGGCAGAGAGGTAGAGGGACAGCACAGAGGTAGAATAAACTGAATACCATGGACAATAGTATCACTACACTGAGAAACAGTGAGCTAAGACTGAAGAGGTACATTGGGTCTAGGTCACGGTAGGGCTAAGTGGGCTCATTTTCAATACTGTAGATAATCACACAAAAGGAAAGGCTCTAGAGCAGGGAAATGACAGTAAAAAGTGCTTCAAAGAACTTAATCCTATCACAGTATAAAGGATGGAGAAGATTAGAGATAAGAAGACCAAGAATAGATATGCTGGCACAACAGTCTTCATGAGAGGCCAACAAACATTGGTGGAGGGGTGGGGGCGGCAGCACCAGAGGGGGATTCACATTCATGAATAATCAAAGGAATGCAAATTAAAACTATAAAACACCACTTTGTGGTTGATCAGATTAGTACAAAAACTAATAATACTAGCAAAGATAAAGCAATCTCAGACACTTTGTTGGTGGGAATGTAAATGGAACAGACTGTATGGAAAGGCACTTAGTGATATGCATTAATAACCTTTAAATATTCAGATCCTCAGACTCAGTAATTCACTTTGAGAACATATTCAAAAAAATAAATAAATTTTTTTTTTTTTTTTTTTGCGGTACGCGGGCCTCTCACTGTTGTGGCCTCTCCTGTTGCGAAGCACAGGCTCCGGACGCGCAGGCTCAGTGGCCATGGCTCACGGGCCTAGCCGCTCCGCAGCATGTGGGATCTTCCTGGACTGGGGCACGAACCCGTGTCCCCTGCATCAGCAGGCGGACCCTCAACCACTGCGCCACCAGGGAAGCCCAAAAAATAAATAAATTTATTTACTCATTCAACAAACGTTTAATTGAGTGCCTACTATATTCCAGGTACTGAGGATACAGCAGTGAACAAAACAGACCTCACCTCTGCTTTCATAGAACTTAGAAGAGACCAACATTTAACAAAAAATCACAAAATAAATGTATAATTACACATATTACAGGATAAAATGAGACAAATTATGAGCTTAAAAAAGACCTTTCTGGAAAGTAACGTTTATACTGAGAGCTGAAGGATGAATAGAATTTAGCCACATGAAGAATAAGAGGATTTTTTTTTCTCTGATAGAGGAAACAATATTCATGAAGGCAAGAAAGAACTGTATTCAAGATTTTAGAGGATTCATTCATTAACTTATTCAACAACTATGTATGGAGGTTCTAGTAAGTACCAGGAACTAGGGGCTGAGGATAAGGGATAGGAGAAAGTAATCAAGGTCAAGTTGAGGTAACAGCAGACAAAACAGGTATAAAAATTTCTATAGGAATGGAAGGGCATTCCATAATAAAGCCAAAGATGTATGTGTGAAAAAGGAGGAAACCAATGCATTTGGCAGGGAAAAAAAAAAAAAAGGATGGAGTATAGGTAACAAACACAAAGATTTTCTACCTCCTCTCAAATCCAAATAGTATAGACTTACCTGAGAAAGATACATTCAAACCAGTACCATTCATTTATTTAAAAAATTACTACTTATAGATAGAGATACTTAGATGGCTCAGCGCTCAAATGGTCATATGCAGAGAAGAAGAAGTAGAGATCAAAAATAAATTTTAGGGCTTCCCTGGTGGCACAGTGGTTGAGAGTCCGCCTGCCGACGCAGGGGGCACGGGTTTGTGCCCCAGTCCGGGAAGATCCCACATGCTGCGGAGCGGCTGGGCCCGTAAGCCATGGCCGCTGAGCCTGCGCGTCCGGAGCCTGTGCTCCACAACGGGAGAGGCCACAACAGTGAGAGGCCCGCGTACAGCAAAAAAAAAAAAAAAAAATTTAAAAAATTTAAAAAAGTAAATTTTAAACATATATACATGAGCTAAGGCATAGCTATACTTGGGACACTACCCTACAAGCTATCCATGAATGTGTCTCAACTGTGCTAAGCATTCAAGGAAAGGGAAACACTTTTTCAGAAAAATAAGCAGGCTTTCTTTGCAAGAGGCCAAAATATATATAGAATAACCTGAGGATTTGAAATTAAAAACTGATCAAATGAACCTCCATAAGCTTAAGGATGAAGTGACAGTTACACAAACTTTATGGTAAGAATATGCTTGGAGTTACCAGCAAGTTAAAAAGGGAGCCATAAGAAAAGATCATGACCTCATCTCAGCAGTAGACCTGAGGAAGTAGAGCCCTTTTCCTCCTGTCTCCTCAATTACCTAAATGGTAATATTTTATGTTTGGTACATGTCAACAGCATTAAAGAGTTACAAATATTTGACACTACCTTCAAAAATATATATATATGCAGAACTCTGTACTATTTTTGCAACTTCTCTATGAGTCTAAAATTATTTCAAAATAAGAAGTATGGGTAGATTTGCTACAACAAATAACACAAAGCCTAAAATTTGTGTTAATTTCATGAAGCAATCAAAAAGAAGGACAAATGAAACAATTCTCCAAATTATGCTCTGAGAGTCCAATTTTCACTTCTTCTGTTAAGGGATGCAGGTACCTATCAAGAGAAAAGCCCATGGTCTGTCTTGGACATCCACTGCCCACCAGGCTTTTGGGGAAGTCATTTCAATCTCTCTAAGCCTCTGCTACACCTACCCCACAGGTTGGTATTATATACTTTTTGACTATGGCATACTATACAAGTATGCATGATCATTATTTAGAATTATTTATTTGAACTGCATTATTCCTTCATTAAATGGAGGAATATCTCTAAGATATGATGAACTATTTGGATTTTTTTCAAGTCTTTGCATTTATCAAATGAATCTTCTACTTAAGTAGGGGCCCGGATTTAACCAACAGATTTATCTAACAGTAAATATAGTTATTATATCCCCCCAAATATAATAGAACTACAGTCTAAAAAATGTTTTTATCTGCTTTAGCCTTTTCCTATAAAGTTCATTAATGGAATTGGTTACCTTACAATTAATTCGGTCAATTCTGTTACCTTAAAATTAATTCGGTTAATGCTGAAGACTGTATTTATTTATTAGACCTGTCTAATAAAGTTTGATGGGGCATAAATACATAGTTTGAACAAACATACTATCATACATAAAATGTTTGATGAAATATATTTTCCCCATAGACATTAAAAATGAAAAAATAGCTCTTTTGAAGAAAAGAGGCGATTAAGTCAGGAATTTCATGAAATCCAAACGCTGAACCTTGAGAACCCAAAAGAAATTTCAAAGTCTGACAAAGAAAATATATCTCTTATAAAATTGGAAATCAATGTGTACTTATAAATGATGCAGCACAAAATGCTTCACTGTAACTTTAATGTGTCAAAATCCATTATCCCTCTGCCTTCCATCAAGTACACTCTTAGAAAGAAAAATATTATATTATTTTCTGTGTTAAAACTTAGTGTACAGCCTAAAGGTGAGTCGGAAAACAGAGAACAAGAGTAACCCTCTCAAATCACGCATTTACTCATTAAAACCTCAAGGCAGCCCATTTTAACGTGGCACCTAATTTTGCTTCCTGGAAAATGTATTTATAGACCAAAACTAGAAATGATTCAAGTGGACAGTTAAAAAGAAAATAAAAAACATCAACAGGGAGCATATAAAAATAATATTCCGTAAGATATTATCTTTATAACAGTAAGAAAAGCAGGATGCCCCCTCCCCTTCAAAGTTTCCAGTGTTCACCATTCAGCCAGTCTACTCACTTCCGGTGGGTGTGGTCCATGCCACTGTTTGGTATTGCTTCCAACTTTGCATTTTTCTGCCCACAGATATTTCCATAGCTGTCGTATCCTGACACTAGTCTTGCTGCTGCACCTGTTGCTACTGAAAAGCCACAAATAAATCCCTAGGGGAAAAAAAACAGAAAAAAACATACAATAAACCATTTCAATAGCAACAGTCACTACTTGATAAAATAATGAGCTGCTTTTGTCCCTCGAAGGGAACAAAGAGCTATCTTTCCTTTTGCAAACACTATTTCACTGTTTTCCTTGGATTTCACATAAGCTATATACAAAGCAGTCCACAGGGTAACACTGTTTGCTACAATAACAAATCTCAAGCTTTTACATCATAAGATTGTCTTTGCATTTTATAATAATAATAGCAGCTTCTCTGTATTGAACATCTGCTCAATGCCTGGATCTGTACCAGATGCTTACCATACATTTTCTCTAATCCTGATGATGGGGAAACTGAGGCCCAGAGAGCATAAATAAGTTGCCCAAGGCCATAGAAGCTAGTAAAGATCAGAGCATAGACTCAGACCCAGCTTTCTTCATTCTTTAGTTTTATTTGGTTGTAAAAGAGTTCTGTTAAATGAACAACAGCAACAGATGAAAGACAAAAATTCAAAGAACAATAGGTATGTGGGTTTTGAATTACTATCACTTCAGTACACACAACACTTCTGTTCCCTTCCTGCAGTAAAGTTGTATACAAGCCAAAGAATTATACAATGAAGCACCGCCACGTTCTGAATATTGGAGACTCAAGGGGAGTGAGGCACTGGGTCCGTGTGCCGCAAAGGTCACTTCATTTCATGGGAATATGCTTCACCACAGTGCCAAAGGCAAATGGTACTTCCTTCAGAACTGCATCATGCTTGCTAAATTGAGGATGCACTGACCAAAGCAAAGCAATAAAACCCTACATTCAACTGCAGGCTACTGGGCATAAGAACAGGAAATAAGGTGAGTCACTACTAATAAACTGACTGAATTGGGAGAAAGGACGGGGGTTAAGAAATATTCTTGCAACACGGTCATTAAAAAGGCTGAGTTTTTTGTTGTGACGAATGAAGACAGAGATTGTCACTGTTTCACTCATCATAGCCAAGTATCATGAGTAGTACTTACCTAAGCAGCCCTGCTAGAGCTCAGGTCTACACTGGTAAATACTGTACTCATATGCAATGCCTCAAAGGATTTCCCCCTTAAACCTATTTTCCTAAAAAGGCAAACAAACTCTTTTTTCTAAATAGCTCCTCTATGTTTATCGTGCAGGTAAGGAAAATGAAGGGGGAAGCATACAGAGTGTAGGTCTACCTAGTGAAAACGTCTTGAAACTACGCTTTGTAAGAAAGTGGACTTGGAGAAGAGACTATGCCTGATTCGTGAACCTCTCACCCTCTGATCATTTTGCCAAGTTATTTTAATTCTCTGTGCCTCAATCTACTCACCTGTAAAATGAAGATAATGAGTGTCGCTCTTAAGGCTGCTGTAAGGATTAAATGAAACAATCCAGTAAGGGGGTAAGAATCCTGTTTGGCACATAGTAAGAGCTCAATAAATGTTGGCTATTACAGTCGCTAGAAATGAGAACATGTTGTAAGGGAAAGACCGTGGGCTTTGGAGTCACATAAACCTGCACTGATAGGTGGAATACTGATGAGTCCATTTTCTACTCAGGTGACCTTGGACAAACTTGCTTAATTCTCCATGCCTCACTTTACCCATCTCTAAGTTGGGGCTAAAACCACTTACCACTAAGGCTGCTGTGACAAATACCTAAGATAATAATGTAAAGTGTCTGTCTCAGTACATGTTAGTACCCTTCTGCCTCAAAGCACAGCTAACAGCTAGCACTGGAGTTAGGCATAGGCTGGTCAGTATTCACTCATTCACCCTCACCCTGGTTTCCCTCTCCCTCTCTCCTGACTCCTCCAGGGAGACTGCAGGGCAATTAGTCCCACCTCAGAACTTCAAGCCAATACTAAGACGTGAGAAAAATATGTATACTCCCCAACATACATATACATGTGCAAATCAGCATGCCATTTTTTTAAAATTTAAGACCTTTATTAACAGGTGCCTGCAGTTTGTTGAATTTTTTGAAAAATTCAACCTGTAAACTTTTATTACAAATTAAAAATGAGGTTCTTAAAAATCTCAACTTGACCAGATATGAAACAATTTAAAAACCTTTAAAGGTGTATTGAGAAAAACCAGGCTTTTTTAAAAAAAAAAAAAAAAACACGTTTGTCATTACCAAAAAGATACGTCTTTAGGTAAAAATAATAAAAACCTCATGCTGCATAGATAATGCAGATAGCTCTAGTTATCTGGTCAGCAGGCAAAGAGCAAGCACTTAAGGTCTTCAGCTCCAATCTTTTGTTCATTGCTTATTGCTGGAATTTCGTATTCATTTCTTCTTGTTGGATGACTAAACCGAAAGATGGTAGAGATGGTAAATTGGCATTTACTCAGCCCCGCCCTGCTCAGCCTCGGGAGCAGACAAGTGGACGAATTCTCAGCTGGTGGATCATCGGCTGCTTTTGTCTCTTCGCCACCTTGTGGTTTAGGATTTTCTGGGCGTCTGCGTCTGTAATTGAAGTTGCGGCGGTACCGACGTTGAGGTGGCTGCTGACCTTGGGTCTCATCTCCCTGATTTTCCTTATCTTCTTCATTGCCGTCCTCTCCGGGCTGTCTCTGGCGAGAAGGGCCCCTGCGGAATCATGGTCTATAACCCCGATACATATTCTGTCTCACTGGTCTACCTTGTTCTCCTGCGCCCTGGTTGTCAGCACCCTACAATCACCTCTCCCTGCACAGCAGGGTTGGAATACTGTGGTCGCCGCCCATGGGGTCTCCGCACGCAGTAAGGTGGGCACCTTCGCCTGCGGTAGGGCCACCGCTGTTGGGCCTGGCCTTCGGGAGCACTCTCCGATCCCCCATCCTCCCCCC